TCAAAATTTACTGTTCTGACTTTATTTTTTTGATTTAATATGAACTTTTTTGTTTCTTATTCTTTTTAATTAATTTAAATGTGACAAGTGTAGATTAAAATAATGTTTTAAAAAAAATGATAAGTATATGTTGTGTGGTTGAAATTTTTTTTTTTTTTCTAAAAAAAGTAGTAGTTTTATTTTTATGTCATTATACATAATAAAAGCACTTTTGATAAAAATTTACCAAATACTTTGACTACTCAAATCACTTTTTCAAATACCATTTATCAAACACCTAATTGCTTTATTTTATAATTGATTATTCACGACACAACAAAAATAATTTTTTTTATAGCACAATAATGCTAAACTAACTCTTAGAACTTAGAAGTCATATTTCTTTGCATTGTTATGGGTCTAAAAGTTAATAACCAGTATGGCCTCTTTGCATTGCCAGTGCCATCAAAGGTGAAATTAGGATGTCTTGCGCTACTCTCTCTCTCTCTCTCTCTCTCTCTCTCTCTCTCTCTCAATTATACAATAGTACTGTACTGAAAATAGGTGGATCGGGAAAAAGAAGAAGAAAAAGAAGTGTCAAATTAAAGATTAAGGCCATTTCAAAAAGCAAATAAATGCGTCTTATATCTAAAAGTTTAAATATTGTAGTTTACATGATCATTTAAAAACGACATACAATTAAATGCTTAAATGACTGAAGTAATAAATATAGATGTATCAATAAATATGTATATATATTCATATGCACATGCATATATATATATATATGTCATTTGATCTTTATTGATAGTAAGTAGATCTGGGGAGATATATATATATATATATATAAAATATTTCTATGCATAGTCGCACATTCCATTGTCACAAGAAGCGCCTTTCTTGCAGTGGTTGGAGCACTTGCCACAGTTTTGATTGTGAGACATTGGATTCATACAATGAGCGTTGCAGCATATCTCTGAGCTGATGCATCTCTTCCCGCAAGAACCACAGTTGGATATGTCAAATCCACACATTTTTTGCTGCAGCAATCTGGCCCGGCATTGCCTTCAGTGGCTTTACAAGCAAGAGGGTTTGGTGGAGCCAAGATTGTATGTGTGGAGGGGCCGAACCGTAATACAAGTATAGAAAAAATAATTCAATCTTACATCAATAATATATAGATATGAAAAAATTACATTTTTTAGAACTTTGTACTTAATTTCATGTATCAAAACTGAAAAGTCCACTGATCTCATTTCTCTTTAAACTATTTATTTTCTATTTTATTTTCTATTCCCCCTGTTTTTTTTTTGTCAAACTATTTTCTATTCCCTTGGCTCATCGGTTTGATTATTAGAGGATTAATACTTCCTTTTTTATGTCAGTTGTGTAATGGGCCTACAAACAATTTACATATAATTATAAATGAAGTTATTTATGGATTGCAATTGGGGGGGCCACTAGAATGGTTATATGGTCTGCATTGTTAAATATATGAACTAAAACCCAAGGTTGACTGCGTTGAGAACAAATTGTGGAGGGCCAGGGCCACCTCAGGCCCTAGTGTACCTCCGCCCTTTTGGTCGCATCCACCCCGACCTGGAGACAACTGAGAGGCAAGGAACCGGATTGTTGACGATCCTGGCCTGAAGAATGCTTCTCTTTGGTTTGGTACCGTCGCAGAGAGAGTAATGGCTAAAGCCATAATGAGCATGGCTATCATAAAGAAAACTTGGAGAGATTTCATCATCATGTAATAAAACAACTTAGAGAGAATGATTATACTCGAATTAGGTGAATATGAACAAGAGACATGCATAAAACAACTTAGAGAGAATGATTATTATTGATGAAGAAACATGCAGGTTAGGCAAGCTGCTTATTTGCTTGGGCTCATGCATAATATGCTGCTAATTAACACAAAGTCATGACTCTGGAATTCGTGTTGCTCTCATTAGTGAAAATAAATATAAAATTACAGATCACAATCCCATATTCTTATTTCAAGGGTCCTTATAAATTATTTTCATGTATAAAAGTATAGCTGCGCAATTAATATTGCAATATCCTTATTCCTTATCGATCCAGTAGCAGTGATCTATCTGGTGCGTCATGATAATTAGTGTTCATGCATAGCTGCACATTCCATACGCACATGAAGTGCCTTTCTTGCACGTGTTGTTGCAGCTGCCGCAGTTTTCGTTGTCCGAGTTCGGATTCACACACTTACCTTTGCAGCAAATCTCTGAGTAATTGCATTTCCTCCCACACTTGCCGCAGTTTGCTCTGTCTGTGTTTGTGTCCACACATTTCTTGTTGCAGCAATCCGGCCCTGCGCTGCCCGACTCCTGACAAACCTTAGGGTTTTTGTCGCAAGTTGTGGCAGGCTGCTGGTAGGCAAGGAAGCGGCTTCTTAGAGAAATGATTTTTCCAAACTGGTTCTTGGTTTCGTCCTTTGCATCAGAATTGTTTTCCTCGTTGAAGAATGATTCTTCTTCTTCTGGTATTGCAGAGAGAGTAGTGATGGCTGAAGCTATTAGCATGGCAAGCATTAGAAAAACCATGAAGCCTTTCATGATGTTTGTTTGGAGTGTATAAAAACAGAGAGAGAGTGAGACCGAGGGAGATTTCTAAAGGTGCTTAGAAGATTTTGGGATGGAGATGCATGTAGGCTCGGAAAAGTATAAATAGAGAAGAAGAATGTGAAGGCGGTCTAAAATTCGTATAATCTTTTAGGGCAGCTTAGGAGAGATTAGCGGTCGTAAGCTGAGAACATGGGAGTCTCAGTGAATCCCTCATCACTTTGTTAATTTGCTGTTTCGTTTGGAGACTTTTGGCCCCATTGTCAAACAAGAACTCTACATAGCCGTCGTTTTTTATATGACGATCGATACAAGCCGCGCTTCAAGGCACTCGTGGAGGCAAAGCAGTGGCAAATCTCCTCAGGTGTTTCGCAGTTATCACGCTTTGCGCACGCTGTGGTTTGTAAGGTGCTTATTCCTCACGAAGAAGAAGACCTGGCAGATTTGACGAAGCCCATCAAATGCACACACGCAAAATCATACCTTTCTATTTTCCCCAAAACTGGCCCAAATACGCGATGGTTTTGATAATAACAAAATTACCTTTCAACTTAGGATACAATTAAAGAAGAAATTCATCCAAATTCCTCCCATCCATAAGTTGGAAATTCGTCCTGTGATATATGTAAATTACAAGCACTGCACCAAATTGAGGCTTACACGACTTGATATTAATGGCACGCTTTTTATTCGTGTTGTTAATAATTCATGTTTACGGTAAATAACAAAACACGCCTTAAAAAGATAGTAAAGTGTGTCGTTAAGTATGTCGTAATTTGTAAGTTCATTTTTTTCTTCCTGAAACCCTCCAATATATTTGCAAGCCGCTAAAAATATAAGATTTTTTTTTTTTAATTTCATGTAACATCCCACATCGACCAACGGAGAGGGGGTGATGTGCCTTATATATACATGTTCACCTCCATCTAGCACGAGGCCTTTTGGGATCTCTCTGGCTTCGGAGTCATGGGAACTCCGAAGTTAAATGAGTTGGGATTAGAGCAATCTTAGGATGGGTGACCCACTGGAAAGTCACTTGTGAGTTCTCAGAACCAAAATCGTAAGGGCAGAGAGAAGGACCCAAAGCAGACAATATTGTGCTACGGTGGAGCCGATCCAGGAATGTGACATTTCAAGCTAGATCCTTGTACGTCATCGATTCAGTGTTTTGATAACGTGCAAAGTGGCGCTAAACTATAACTGCTCAATTGGTGCTCAACTGTAACTGCTCCACTCCGCCCACGCTAACGTGAGCCCGATAACTTTTTCTCCAATAACCGTCAAAGTTATTAATCAAGAAGCCTAAAGGTCTTGAGGACCAAATAACCATGAGGACAACCAAGAGACAAACTAAAGAGACATACAGCTAGGCTAGCTAGTTTACTTTGTGTGTGTATGAAGAAAAGAGATCAAAGTATTTATGACTGCTTAACTTGGAAGCATATGCAGGTTAGAAAGAGCTATAAATAGAGAGAGGGAAAAGAATCAATATATTAATTATACTCGAATTAGGTGAATATGAGTAAGAAACATGCATAAAACAACTTAGAGGGAAATATTATTATTGATGAATAAACATGCTGCTTATTTGCTTGGGCTCATGCATAATATGCTGCTAATTTACACAAAGTCATGACTCTGGAATTCGCCTTGCTTTCATTAGTGAAAATAAATATATAATTACAGACAGGATCATTTGATTTTCAATCCCATATTCTTATTTCAAGGGTCCAGGAAACCAAACTAACCATGATTAATTAACAGGCTAAAGAATGTTGTTAGCTGGGATGTCTCATTTCTTTAGTTTAAAGATTTGGCATATGCTGTTTTAGCAAGTACAATTAAATCATTTTTTATTTTTTATTCAACTTCTCCCATTTCTTTGCGAATCAAAAGTTGTCTCACTTGTCCCATTGTTCGGTTTTATCCGGGCGTCAATAACGAACCCATAATGCCTTTTTCTTACAAATAAATTCATTTTTATGTGTTACCAAAAAAGAAATGAAAAAAACAATTCCTCTTAAGTTTTGCATATCAATATATTAGATATCTCTTCGCCCCTCTACCCATTATCATTTAGTTTTAAGTTATATGATTGAATGTTATCATGATAACAAAACATGTTACTTACAAGTATTCCACACATAGGGGTGCGACGTGTAGAGAGTATTTTTTTCACATCGGGGAATATAGTCATCAATACCTAGCCCTTCGTTGCAAAAATTCAAGCCTTAGTCTTAACCCATTTCAAGTATATTGATACTTTTTCATTGATAATTATCTTGAGCAAGACATTGTCAAAAACATACATCTTAATTAGTCTCCAAAACAAATACATAAAACATTATTCCTTATTGCAGTAGTAATATATATAGCTGAATCTGCGATATTCCTTATTGTTATTGATGACGAGAAGTTCCTCTGCGTCATTATGAATTTCTAAGCATAGCTGCACATCCCAAACGCACATGAACCGCCTTTCTTGCAATGGTTGTCGCAGCCTCCACAGTGTGTCTTGTCAGACATTGGGTTCACAAGATGACCTTTGCAACATATCTGTGCGTGATGGCTTTTCACCCCACACTTCCCACAGTTGAGTTTGTCTGTCTTCAAATCAACACATTTGTTGTGGCAGCAATGTGCATGCGTGGCTTTACACACCTTAGGGTTTTTGTCGCATGTCGCGGCCATGGCCCGATGAGAAGCAAGAAAGCGGCTTCTTCCTCTGAGAGAAGTTTGTTCTTGTCCTTGTACGGCCATAACTGGGAGGTCGTCAAAGGTTTCATTTGTAACATTATTGTTGTCTTCCTCGACGACATCGTTGAAGAATGATTCTTCGAATTCGTATGATGTTGATGAGAGAGTATGGACGGGTGATAGAGCCACCAGCATCGCTAGCACAAAGAAAAGCTTGAGCGATTTCATATTGGTCTAACTGATTTGAATTAATTTGGTAGGTCGTGTATGTATCGAAGAAAAGGAATGAGCTAGAATGTGTAAAGATTGGATAGATGGAGAAGCATGCAGGGGTTGAAGAAGTATATGTAGAGAGGAGTGAGGGCTGACAGAGGTGATCAACGTGTGGGGAATATTTGAATGGTTGGTCTAATTCAAGGGGCCGTACAAAACGTTAATTCATCAGTAAACAAACTTATTCTTCCGAAGAATATATTACGTATTCTAGAAATTAGGTGAATAAGAACAAAGAAATTAAAGCCTGCACAAATTATATGGGAAGATTCTTGGGCTTGTTTCCTAACTGGGCTCGCATGTCAGTATAATTACAATTACAAAAACTCCTGACTAAAGAAAAGTTGTCATCAATATCAATTCAGTATCATTTTGACCAACTTTTAATATGAATATATATATTTGGCGTATGCTGTTTTCCTTACAACTAATAACAATAGCTAGCTACACTTGTCGCATTGTTCGATTTTATCTGGGGCGCCAATATAGACGTGAGTCTTGACCATACAAATTACAATTAAGATGCCAAAATGCCTTGCAACTAACTTAAAAATAAATGTAATTGTTTTTATTTTGTTTTAAAATGTAGGGAAGCTTCGTATGTAGGTAATTGGGAGTTTCACTAAAACACCCAAAATGAGGGTTGAAATTATAAAAACACCCAAGCACTATTTAAACATATAAACACACCCAAAATCCATCATTACACACACTCAAAACCCATTTATAAACACACCCAAAAAGTTGACTTTGGGGTTTATTTTGGATGTGTTTCTATGTTTAAATAGTGCTTGGATTTTTTTATAAATACATGTCTAGGATTGAGTTTATTTAAATTTGTATAAAAAATATCAGACACTGACCGCAATGTGATGATATATGCTTCAAATTAGATAAAAGAATATATATATTTCGCCCAGATAATTGGTTCTAGAAGTAGAATAGGTCTTCCAATATCACTAGGTTGATTGTTCAAAATTCTAATCAATCCATCACTACTCTGGTTCTGGTTTGCTAGCGTATTACAAGCCCAACAACCGTCTTGTGCCCTTATTTATTATGCTTTAAAAAAGACAACTCAGTTTCAAGTACTCCACTCTATATATGCCAAATAAAGCTCAGGAATAAAAAATAAAAAAATAGAAAAAAAACTCTAAAGGAATGGCTCCAAGAACGCTTAACCCCTCTTCTTCTACAACTGTTTGGTTCCATAGTAAGTGTCTTATCTAAGGCCCTTAAATGAGACCATATGTCTTAACCGTTTGATCAAATTAGTTCGTCGTTAATATACAACTAGAAAAGAAATTCATCCAAATTTCTGTCATCTATATGAGCACGAGTTGAAAGAATAAAAAATAAAAAGGAAGAGGTTGAATCCTTATGATATATTATATCTGACAAGTAACAAACATCAACAAATAATACGAACTTTTTCAATTAAGGGATGATAATATTGATGATTCCTTACAATAAACAATTTATTGGCAAAGCCTATCGAATGGTGACGGCTAGCTAGCCCTTATTCCTTGCAATTAATATTGCAACATCCTTATTCCTTATCGATCCAGTAGCAGTGATCTATCTGGTGCGTCATGATAATTAGTGTTCATGCATAGCTGCACATTCCACACGCACATGAAGTGCCTTTCTTGCACGTGTTGTTGCAGCTGCCGCAGTTTTCGTTGTCCGAGTTCGGATTCACACACTTACCTTCGCAGCAAATCTCTGAGTAATTGCATTTCCTCCCACACTTTCCGCAGTTTGCTCTGTCTGTGTTTGTGTCCACACATTTCTTGTTGCAGCAATCCGGCCCTGCGCTGCCCGACGCCTGACATTTGTCGCAAGTTGTGGCAGGCGGCCCGTAGGCAAGCAAGCGGCTTCTTAGGGAAGTGCTTTTTCCAAACTGGTTCTTGGTTTCGTCCTTTGCATCAGTATTGTTTTCCTCGTTGAAGAATGATTCTTCTTCGTCTGGTATTGCGGAAAGAGTAGTGATGGCTGAAGCTATGAGCACGGCAAGGATTAGAAAAACCTTGAATCCTTTCATGATGTTTGTTTGGAGTGTATAATATAAGTTTTTTTTTAATCTCTGTGACATCATGTTGAGAGTATTTGTCCCACATTAAAATGTTAAGGGACCAAGCCTAGGTTTATAAGGAGTTGGGCTTCTCCCCCCATTGCCAATTGATTTTGAGGTGGAACCTCAACTTCCTTCACATCCCACATCGACCAACGGAGAGAGATTCAGATTTTTTATTTCCAGTTCCTCGTTCGCGAGAAGACTATTGCTTGAGCCACATTGCTTTCGAAGCTAAATTCTCAGTGACCTTCCAAAGGTGTGATTCTCTAAAACCCTAACTCCTAATGTTTGATTATGAATTTTCTTATAGTTTAGAATCATGTTCCCTACCACATTCATGTGGTTAGGAGGCCTCATTGTCTTTAATTCTTGATTTATACCACTTTGCACATTATTTTCATTTTTTGATTTATTTAAATATTCATCGTTTCAAGCTCGATCTCTGTACGTCTTTGATTCAGTGTTCAGATTTCAATGTTCTTTTCATATTTCTAAAATTCTGTTCGATTTGCTCTATTTTTCTTTAAAAAAAACTCCAGTTTGATTTATCTGTGAGATCGAACTAGTTTTCCCCGATTCTGTATGCATAAGTTTTGAGCGAATTTTTCTTCAAAACTGAGGAATCTAATTTCTAATAGTAATGCTTGGGTTTTGTGTAGTGATTGCTTAGGGAATCAATGCCGGAGATATTAAGAAGCTTGAATACGCTGGGATCTACACCTGCAATGAATTGATGATGCATACGAAGGTGAAACGAATTTAAACTCTAATTTCTTACACTGAGCATGTGTTAAGGTCTGATTCCTGTGATATATGTATCTTACTTAAATAACATCAACAAACAATCAACAAACAAATAATAATTCATTATTCCTTACAATATAATAAGAGAAATTAATAATAAATTAATAAACAATTAATTGGCTAGCCCTTATTCTTGCACTTACACACACGTACACAAATTCATAGATAGAGCCCAGCTACTGTTTTCAGGTATATATAGCTGAGCTTAATAAAACAAATAAAATTATCAAAGTATAGCTGCACAATTAATAATTATATTGCAATATCCTCCTTATCGATCGAGTAGCAGTGATCTGGTGCGTTCATGCATAGCTGCACATCCCATACGCACATGAGCTGCCTTTCTTGCACTTGTTGTTGCAGCTGCCGCAGTTTTTCTTGTCCGACCTCGGATTCACACACTTACCTTTGCAGCATATCTCTGCGTACTTGCATTTCCTCCCACACTTGCCACAGTTTGCCCTGTCTGTGTTCCTGTCGACACATTTCTTCTTGCAGCAATCTGGCCCTGCGCTGCCCGACGCCCGACAAACCTTAGGGTATCTGTCGCAAGTCATCGCAGGCGGCCGGGAGGCAAGGAAGCGGCCCCTCAGAGAAGTACTTTTTTCCAACTGGCTTTTGGTTTCGTCATTTGCATCATTATTGTTTTCCTCGTTGAAGAATGATTCTTCTTCGTCTGGTATTGCAGAAAGAGTAGTGATGGCTGAAGCCATTAGCATGGCAAGCATTAGGAAAAGCATGAAGGATTTCATGATGATGTTTCGTTGCTGTTGGTGTGTATGGTATGTGGTATGTATAAAAGCACAGAGAGAGAGAGAGAGAGAGAGAGAGAGAGAGAGAGAGAGAGAGAGATTTCAAAAGGTTTGTAGAGGATGGTGAAGCTTTGAATGTTTTGGATGGAGAAGCATGTAGGCTTTGGAGAAGTATATATAGAGAAGAAGAATGTGAAGGCGGTGTAATTCGTATATGGATGAGTATTGATATGCTTAATGGATTGGTCTAATTCAAAGGGCTACGAAACTTTCAAGTAAACGAAGTTCGGCTTTCAAAGAAACATACACCCCAAATTAGTTAGGCGAATATGAACTTATGAGGAAGAAGAAGAAAGAAAATTAAGTTACTCATAAATCATACTAGTTAGGCAGCTGCAGCTGCTTCTCAAACATGGATCCATAGTATATATTGGGAATTAGCTACCTCAGCTAAAGCCCAAGCCCGCCTTCTGGTTCCAGGGTCCAAGAAAAACCAAACTGGTGGTCTATTTTTCATATGGAGAAACCGTTACAGAAGCACTTGGACCATATTTGTTGACTTTCTTCATACTTTTGGAAATCATATAATTGAACAATATGTGTCAAGAAGTTCAAGGAGGCACGTACGCCGCATAGGTTGATTATTCATTGTATCACATGGTATCATGATGTATAACTTGGCACGTACGACAATATTTATGTTAGTTTGTTAATTTTTGTCTTTACTTTCTAAAATCCTTTCATTTTTGTCTTTACTTTTCCTTATACATTTATAGAAAGAAACTAAAGTCGTAGGGGGAAGCGACTATGTTGAGTAAAGAGGCAACAACTGGTAACTGGATACTGTGTACCTTCCCTCACCACATGAAAATGTTTAGGTGACCACGTTCCTTGCTTCGTTAAGCCGCGCCATGAAACCAAGTGGGTTATTTTTGGTAAGCAGAACTGCTGATGCAAGATGAATCGGAAGCCAGGTTATGGTGCCCAACTGCAAGCTAACCTAGAACCCACAAAAGATGTTGGTCGTATACGTACATGAATTGTATGTTGCTTTGTAAAAAAAAAACGTGTATTCTCTAAACTACTCTTATCGAAGGGCTTTTTTAAACAAAAACCTTAAGTTGTACTTGCGATTGTGGTGTTGGCTAAATAGGTGCTGGAGAACACCCTGATAAGTGCAGAACAGTACAAGCTTATGAAGGATCTCATAATACCCCCTGGCAGAGCACCCCAATTCTCAGCTCAAAGTGGTGCCTAATGCAAAGGAACGAAATTCAAGGGAAAAAAAATGTTTTTTTATAGCCGCGCGGCTAAACTATTTAATTATATTAAGTATAGCCGCACGGCTACACTATTAATTAACAAAACTTTTAAAAAACTAACGTATAGCCGACCGGCTATACTATGTAATAACCAAAATTTAGACGTATAGCCACGGCTATACTATTTATTTTAAAAAAACTTTTTAAGCCGCTATACGATTTATTATTTTATATTAAAGAGTATAGCCACACGGCTATACATTTTAGTTAAAAAACAAATTTTAAAACCTGCCGTATAGCCGCACGGCTATACTATTTAATTATATTATATTTAACGCGTATAGCCGCACGGCTACACTATTAATTAACAAAACTTTTAAAAAACTAAAGTATAGCCGACCGGCTATACTATGTAATAAGCAAAATTTAGACGTATAGCCGCACGGCTATACTATTTATTTAAAAAAAAAACTTTTTGAAAAACCTGAAGTTCAGCAGCGCCGCTATACGATTTATTGTTTTATATTAAAGAGTATAGCCACACGGCTATAAATTTTATTTAAAAAACAAATTTTAAAACCTGCAGTATGGCCGCACGGCGATACTATTTAATTCTACTAGCTGCTAGACTATTTATTAAAAAAATTAAAAAAACTGATGTATAGTCGCCATGCTATACTATTTAATTATAATAGTATTTATGAGTGCAGATAAATGAAACCTAAAATTAACTGAGTACACCATATGATCTATGTATACCGTAACTGAGTACACCTTATGATTTGGGCAATATTGTTTTTGATATGTCCTAAATCTAACTAATGATACAAAAACGTTCAACAAAATTCTTTGATATTGATCCTAAATCAAATAATAAGTAATACTAAGTAACGGAATCACTCTTATTAAAGTACTCAATTTTGCAGCTTCGGGGTTTTGTATTTTTTTTTCCCATGTGAAACACAGTATTTCATGTCGTCTGATTTTACTTTTCTCTTTCTGGTTTTTTAAAACTTTTTTTTTTTTTTTTTTTTTTCTGAATCCAATATCTAAAACCAAAAAACAACTCTGATTGCCTTCTCAGCCATGTTTTTTAAGTTTTAGTTTTCATCTGGTTGTATTTATCTAGCCGTGTATTATATATGAAAATTCTTTGACCAACTTGGTACTGTGTACCTTCCCTCACGACATGAAAATGTTTCTACGGCATTGCGACTTTAAATTTGCATCAAATTATATCGCCATATATTTAGCAATAATTAAACAATTGAGTCGCACTTTTCAAACCACTAGCTAGATTGTAGAACAAGTACTACTATACCATTTATTACTCTTGAATAATATGACATTTTTTTGACATTATAATTAAGGGCAATGATTTCCCCACTCCTATTTTATCCACTTACACTCCTTTTTTAGTTATAAAAAAGGAGTGTAAGTGGATAAAATAGGAGAAAAAGGAGTGGGGAAATCACCACTCATAATTAAAATCAGAACAGTACTTGTTGAAACGCGTGTATATTTTGCCGGACATTTCCCATTTGAAGGAAGATTTCTGATGGGCCGGAAAGACAGAAAAATAAATATATGGTATTTTGAAACCATTATAATTGCAATGATTTCACAATAATAAATGCTTCAATTCATTTTATAAAGTATTAAGTGTAATTCTTCTTTCTCTTTGTTGTTACTTGTAAGCTGCCATAATGTGTGACAGAACAAATATGTATGTACACAAGTACGTATAGTGTGAAATCATGCCTAATTGCACATCCCATAAACACAGTACTCTCCCTTCTTGCACTTCTGATTGCACGCACCACAATGCCTCTTGTCTAAAGATGCATTGACGCACTTTCCCCTGCAGCAAATCTCAGTGTACTTGCATCTGTAGCCGCAAAACCCGCAGTTGTATCGATCCGTCTTCACGTTAACACATTTCTTCTTGCAGCAGTCTGGCCGCGGACTGTTCCTCAAACGACAAATCCTAGGAAACTTGTTGCAAGTATAATCGGCCTGCTGCACATTCTTCTGATAAAGAAAACGGCTCACTCCTCTTAAAGAAGTAGTTGCTTCTCCTTCGTCTGGTGTTTCAGGCAATGTTGCTTCAGTACTCTGCATTTCCACGTCCTCGTTGTAATCATCATCCAAATTTGCAGCTGCAACAATGGCTATCATTGCTACGAGTGTAACGAAGATGTTCATCAACTTCATGGCCATGACTAAATTATAAATTGATGATATTTTTCTCTCTTTTCCTGTAGGGAGAGGATATTTTTGTAGGAGAGGAGTGTAGACTTAGTGTAGAGTTTCAATAGGATATGGAATTTTATAGAAACAATGGGGGGAGAGTTGACAATTGGAAACTTGATATACAAGTTTTGCTTTATTTGTGTGGTTGCAGTAATGGTCTAAACTCATTAGGCTACTTGTAAATTACTCAGTATCTTCTCTGAAGAAATCATCTGATTGGCAACAAAGAAAAGAAAGTTACCCTTTCCCTCACTTTCACATCATTGATAAATTTATGTGATATTTTAACCCCATGATTGAAATTTGAATAGTAAATAAGAAAGGGGGGGACAGGGGAAATAAAGATGGGAATAAAATCTGATTGTCCTACTTCCATTAAAACAAGTCACACATTGATTCCCCAATTGGGTAAGGAAAGCACATATTCTCAACACCCAATTCACTACTTAAGAAAATATTTCAGGCTTCAACATTAATGAGCAACAATTTTGTACCCTGAACATATATACCTACAATATTTCTACTTCTAGTGTACAAATTTGCTGTTCTCTTTTTCTTTTTTGGGTGAAACCTTTGGGTTTATCTCTCTCTCAAACAATTTTGCTTGAGAGAGAGATAATGAATTACCAAAGCCTGATTATCCTGAGTTTAATTTTCCCTCTGCATTCTGTCAAAGCCAAAACTTCAAGCTGCAATTACCAGGGGAACACTAATCAGCTGGTTGACTTGCAGAAACAACTTCATGTTTGGGAAACTTACTCCAATGCTGAAGAGGTGAAACCCCAAATGCAGGTTACTTCTATTCAGAACCCTGCAGTGATCACAACACATCTAAGAACATGGAGGGGTCGAAACCCCTCTCGTTTTCAGCATTACCTAAGAAATGTATGTAAGATGTATATTCGTTAAAAACTTTTTTCTTCTTTTTTGTTGATAATAGAAGATTAATTAATTAAAGTGTGTAATTAAGTTTAATGACAGACGCATGGGGTTCTGAATATCTTCGGATGGGGAACTTTGTTGCCAATCGGAGTAATAGCCGCAAGGTACTTCAGAAAATTTCCCTTCAAGTGCAGCGAATGGTATTCTGTTCACATAACGTGTCAGAGCGGTGGATACATTGTAGGCACCGTTGGATGGTGTAGTGGCATGTTTCTTGGGAATTCTTCAAAGCAACAAGGCAACGAAACACATCGTGTTCTTGGGATCATTATATTTACTTTCACCACCATTCAAGTAAGTCAAACTCATCCTCTTGGCTCCAAACAGAAAAAGAAAAAAGTCAAATTCTTATTTTCTTTTTTTTCCATACAAGTAAAATTAGGAAATGAGGAATACAACATAGGACGTCAAGTGCAAGGGTAAATATTGTTTTCATTTAAGTCATTTGTGTAATAATTTTTTTTTAATGGTTGTTCGTTCAGATGCTTGCCATATTTTGGCGACCTAAGGGAGAAAATGGGTTTCCCAAGTACGTGAAGATATGCCATCATCTTCTTGGCTATGCTCTGATTGCCCTAACCATAGCAAACATATTTGAAGGAATAAACAATCGAGCTCATGCTGCAAAGTGGAAATGGACTTATGTTGCAATACTTTGTGTTTTAGGTGTTACTGCTCTAGGATTGGAAATTTTTAAGTGGATTAAGCGTGCAATGATGCGTGAGGCAGTGAAATTGAACAGCAATATGTAGACGTCTCCTTGAACACCCTACCCATTATCAGATCTTTCCTTTTTTTCCTACAATTGTTTCATTTTTTTCCCTCAACGTGACTAGTAAGGGATACACTAAATCTCACACCTACAATAAGAATTTGATTATTGTTTTTTGTTTTTGTTATCAATTAAGGTGGTGAATTCAAACTTGAGACATCGTTCGACTATTGTTGCGTTAATCCTTTACTGGATTTATATTTTTATTTTTTTCAAATTAAAAGCAAGGATACCCAAGAAAAAAAAAATATAGTTATATTATCAAACGTGGGCCATAAACTTCAGCCAGAAGCCTTACATTCTATAGCCCAGGAACCTAGATTTTGGGCTCCTACCGAAGCCATAAAACTATCTGGTTTGGGCCTTATCAAACAGTAAAAATGTGATGTTTCGTACTGCAGTTGAATACGGCGACGTTTCTAATCCGCACCTTCTGGCGCCCCGGACGGTAATGGCAAACGTGAGTTTTTTAAGCTCCACTGCACAAAATGCAATGGGATTGTATCGCAAGCCAACAATCTGGAGAAGGCGGAGAGAGAAAACGAAGTCAAAGGAGAGGAGCAACCAGCCATGGCCAGCTCTGCCGCAATCGACGGCGTCGCAGCCGCTGCCCTCCGTTCCGTGATGCAGCGCGTCCAGCTGGCAGCCCAAAAATCGGGACGTGTAGCCCACGAGATCCGAGTGGTGGCGGTGAGCAAGACGAAGCCAGTCTCTGTGCTCCGCCAAGTGTACGACGCCGGCCATCGCTGTTTCGGCGAAAACTACGTCCAAGAACTCGTCGAGAAAGCTCCTCAGGTTGCTTTCTTTCTGCTTCTCTATCTCTCACTTGAGTTTCGACTAACTGATTTGTGTTGAAAGAAATGAAAGTGGTTAAATTTTCGTGATTGGTTTGGGCCCTGCAGCTTCCGGAAGATATTGAGTGGCATTTTATTGGGAATTTGCAAAGCAACAAAGTAAAGCCCCTTCTAAGTACGATTCTTTTTCTTTTTCAAATATGTTTGTTGTGCTTCAGTGTCATATCTTAAGCCTTTGTTAGGTAGCCCATTTGTAGAAAGCAATAAGCGTTTTTGTTTTGTTATTTTCAAATTATGCAGCTGGTGTACCCAACCTTGCAATGGTAGAGAGTGTGGATGATGAGAAGGTAGACACTTATTCTATTAACAGCATTTTCTGTGTAAAGTTAGTTTTGGGTGATGGATATCGAGAAAATCAATGTTATGTTGTAACAATTATGTAATTCTAGTAAAGATTGTACCTTGTCTTAGTTCCCCTTTGGGTTTTTGATGGAAATTGAATTCACTGGTCCTTTGTTGTATACAATATTGCTTTATTTATAATGATTGGGGTAATTCAAGAATAGTGGCCATGTTTAATTATCTGTAATTAGGGAAGCTCATACTTTTCTTATGGATAATCATGTTCAGCTGTTCTTAAACTCAGCAGCTTGGTTGGTTCTCAGTTTACTCCACCTTGTATGATTTGCAGATTGCAAATCGTCTTGATAATGTAGTTGCTAGCATTGGCAGAAAGCCTTTGAAGGTCTTCCTCCAAGTGAATACCAGTGGAGAAGAATGTAAGTCTACTAGATATGAGCAACCCTTTTCTTAGATACAGTGGGAGATGCTTGCTTGAGGAGTATGGTGGTTTACACTTGCATTGTTATCCGATGAATGTTTTTCATTCATTTTGTTCGTTATCAAATGTTAGTCAACAATCCATGGGGCTTCCATAAGTTAGTCATTTATTCTTAATATTTTCTAGATAATATCTGATCTCTGTAAAATACCATTGTAGCAAAATCTGGTGTTGAGCCCTCTGGATGTGTGGAGCTTGCAAAGCATGTCAGTTTGGGCTGTCCAAACCTTGAGTTTTGTGGTCTAATGACAATTGGGATGCTGGATTATACATCTACACCAGAAAACTTTAAGGTGATGCTCCAACATACTACGTGTAAATCTTTCTCAAAATTTCAGCACCTTGGGTTTCTCGGCAAATCTCAAACCAAACCGTTTGTTGTCAGACATTAGCGAACTGCAGAACTGAAGTGTGCAAGGCACTTGGAATACCAGAAGAGCAATGTGAACTTTCAATGGGCATGTCTGCAGACTTCGAGCTAGCTGTAAGGACCAATCTTACACTATCGTAATCTGTTTCACAATAAGAAGAGGGGAAAGGGGAAGGGGGTGATTGGTTTGGGGTATCTTGGTGCTGGGTTGTTATAACTTGTAAATGGAAATCTTTTGTGCAACCTTATATGCTAAAGAAAAATTTATTGATCCTAGCACCAGTGAAGTTTTTTCACTAAGTTAAAACTTACACATGTATTAAATTGCTTGACTAATGGAGAAATTTGATGGTTTTGCAGATCGAATTGGGCAGCACAAATGTGAGAATTGGATCTACAATATTTGGGGCGAGAGAATATCCAAAGAAACAATCAAATTAGCTCGACAAACTTGATTTATGTTCTTGTAATTTTATGCGCTGATTTTGGCAAATTGTAGTCTATGTCATTTTGGATATGTAATTCAAACTGTATCTTGTAACTTGAACAGATAAGTGAACTTGAATAAATAATTTACATGAGTATGACTGGAACTTCTGCACACTTGTTAGCTGCAGTATGCCAATTCAATGTTTGGTCCATCAATCTGAATTCTGAACTGAATTTTAGACACCATGCTCTGCCCAGTGAACAGAACTGCACGACACTAGTGAGATCATTTACAAAACTCCTTGAAAAGTTTGCTCCAAGTGCGCGAGAATACTTTTTAAACAGATTTTTGAACTTTAGTTAATCTGATATTTATTTTCTTTTTTCTATTTAATATTAATAAATATGAAAAATCGTTCTCAGTTCTCAGTAATCTTCTTTGTTGGTGACCCCCACCCTCTATTGTCAATAATCAGTAGCATGAGTTATGATGAAGAAGCTAAACAGCTCTTTCTTAAACCCCTTGAGACCACCACCTCAGCCTTCACCAACTGCCACGACCCACACTTTCAACGCCATCATCAACCGCCTCTCATCCCAAGGCTCTCACCAAGAAGTCCTTGTCACATACTCCTCTATGCTCAAAACCAACACCCCTCCGGACACCTATACCTTTCCTAATCTTCTCAAAGCTTGCACCTCCTTAAACCTCTTCCTCTTTGGCCTCTCGTTCCACCAATGTATTGTCGTTAATGGGTTCTCTTTGGATGCTTACATTGCTTCTTCTTTGATAAACTTCTATGCCAAATTTGGCCATGC